ATATCCATCCGAGATATTTCAGAATATCTGGATATTCAACGCAACTGTACAGAGCCATGTGCGTCGCACATATAATCTGCGGTATGTCGCTACACGAAAAATACACACACAGTGTGACTGTGTACGTGCGGCACTTGATACACATGTATACGTCGCGACATACCGTAGATTCTATTTGCAACGCACACAGCTCTGGGCTTTGCAGTTGCGTTGAATATCCAGTTATTCTTAAATATCCCGGATGGATATCCATCCGAAATACATAGACTGAAAAAAATAATCAAGTTGATTCCTAAACAGTTCAATTTGTTCAAAAATAATTTTTTTCTTTCATTTAAAAAAAAATAAAATGTCTTACATCCGTAAGATGAACTTTTCCGCACTGTGATCCATAACATGCATTTATTACAAATCTTTTACTCAAAGAATTCACGAGAAAACTGAATCTGACATTAGTTTTACGATACAAATAATTTTCGAAGCACTTTTCATACAAAAACTACTAAAAATGGGAATTTTTGTATCGCAGCCACGCCTATATGATATCGTAATCATGTGAAAATTTGCAGAGGTTATTTTTTTCACAAAAAGTTAACATTCTGAAAGTTTGAAGAAATTTCAATGCATATTAAGGGTACTTCTCATACAAAATTTCGTTTTTGAGCGAAAAATCCAAAACTTTGTTCGGGAGGTACCCCTAATATGCGTTTAAATGTCTTCAAACTCTCGGAATGGTATTTTTTTGTGATAAAAATAGCCTCTGCAAAGTTTCAGCTAGTTACGATATCATACAGACATGGATTTCATACATAAATTCAATTTTTTTGAAATTTTTGTATGAAAAGTGTGTCGAAAGTTATTTGTATCGCAAAAATAACGTCATATTCGGTTTTCTCGTACCCAAAAACGTTTCGTTTTTGAGAGTTTAAGTATACATTAAATATCACTTTTGGAAGAAAAATTGAATTTTTCCCATGGATGGCCATGGGCATCACACCAGACATGACACTTCACTCTGTCAACCAAAGTCGCTCAAGATCTAATGGTTTCTATTCCCCGGCACCCCCAATCGTCCTGTGAAGTCAGATTTTGAATTACTTTTCTTGTTTGAAAGTTATCGTGTTAACAAATTTTTGCGTACAGGGTACAGCATACAGCGTACAGGGTACCACGCACATACATTCGGACATCGAAAAAACGCTAGATTCGTGTTCCCTGGCTCCTAAAACACCCAGAAAACATGTTTTTTGAGGGTGTTAATTTTTCGACCGATTCCAATACTTTACCTTACACACTAGGTGTGTGCGGAAAAGTAAAACAAGTGTTGTGTCAGAATGGCTACGGTTTTAAAAAATAATGCGGCATCTGAAGTGAATGCTAAACTCTATTTAAACGATGAATTGGCCGATGTTCGTTTTGCGTTCAGCGTCAATGGTGTGGATCAAAAGGTTCCAGCAAATAAAGCCAATTTGGCCGCTCTAAGCCCGGTTTTCTTCAGCATGTTCTACGGTACATTGAAAGAAGGAAACGAAGTGAAAATTGTAGATGCCAGCGCCGAAGGATTCAAAGATTTCCTCCAGTTCTTCTATCTGAGTGAAGTGACGCTAAAAATGGAAAATATCGAAACTGTTGTTCGTTTGGCGGATAAGTACGACGTTCTAGGTTATGTCGACGCATGTGCCATGTTCCTCAAAAGTCAATTGAGTGCTAACAATTTGTGCTGGGGCTATCAACTAGCATTGTTTCTCAAGAATAAATCATTCATTGAATTCTGTGAGAAGGAGATAATCAAAGCATCGGAACAAATATTGTAAACAGATATGTTTCAACGGTACAATGAGGATACTTTGAAACGAATCCTTGAACTGAACTTAACATGTAGCGAAGTGAAGGTTTTTGAGGCGAGTCTGAAATGGGCAAAAAATGCATGCCGCCAAAATGGCTTGAATGAAAATCAAGCGGATAATTTGAAAATTCAACTCGGTGACTGCTTGAAACTTATTCGATTCGGGAAAATGAAAATGGAAGAGTTTACCACATTGGCTGCTGCACACAAAGGACTTTTTACACCAGAAGAATTTAAAGACATCATTTTCACACTCTCGGTAAAAGGATATCAACCGAAATTATTCAATCAGGCGCCACGATTAAGAAAGAATACGGCTGATAATTGGAATGCAAATAAACAAATTCAACATGAACAAAATCTATTAAGAATACAACAATACAGAGAAATTATTTCTAAGGGCTCAAGAAAAGATTTCGGATTCCAATCATAAATCCTGGTGTGTTCATGATTCACGATCCAAGGTGGGGTTGATTTATTTATATCGTACTATCAACATTATCACGACATATCACTAATTCGACCGAAAGTCAAATCAATTGTGAGAAGCAAAGGGTATATTAACAGTGCCTATCAATTATTATTATTATCAATTATTAGCTATTATTTGTACACATTTCGATTGTGTGGCGACAACAATTTTTGTAAACAAAATATAGAACAACTTCGATTTTCATTTTAAAAATTTAGTTTTTTGCGAATAAACACTCTCTCTTTAAAACAACCATCATGACTGAGAGATGTCATATTGTAAAAACGCCATCTGGTGACGTGCGCGAATTGTGGTTCAAAACAACCGATATGAAAATTTAGTCAAGACACCATCCAACAATTCCGTCTTTGTAATTACATACATTGATAACCACGTCAACAGATGGCGCATTATTGTGCGAGTTTTTTCTCGCCTATATCAATATACAGGGACTCATGATGGTTGCTTTAAATAACGTGTAAACCAATTTATTTGACAATGAATTGCGTCATATTGTCTTTTATAAAGTAAATACAAATTATAACACCTTTTTATATAAAGAAAACCGTCTACCTTCCACGTTTATGTGAAAAATGTTAGGCACATGTTTTCGGTTCACTGTAAATGTTTAAAATATTTCGCGCATTCTAATAAATTGATGTCGCAATTAAGACTAAGTTTTGAATTTCCTTGTAATTAGTAATATGATAAAAATGAGTGATTATTGAAATAAATAAATTTGATTTCTTATTAATCCATTGTTAGTATTTCCCAGTTTTGTTTGGGTGAATAAGACTTATTCACTCGTTTACTTTTTATTGTTTTAACGTTAATGGAATTATAAGAAAATTCCATCTATAATTTATAACGTCATTCATTAAAAAAAAGTATTCTAAGTTGTCACTTCATCTTTTACAATTTTTCATTTTCTTCTTTTATAAGTATACACTTTTACACTGCCTTTAGTATATATTTAATTAAAGTTCGTTCGCTTGAGACGCTTGTCTTTATTTTTTTGGAAATACTTGGAGCAAAGGGAAAAAATTGTATATTTTCTTGCACACGATAATTTTTGCAACATAATTATATGGTGTTTTTGGTGGAAGTGCCATGTCTTCTTCATCATCATCAAGCTCAAAAAAACCAGCCGACAATTTTAATATCGATAAATTTCAATAGAAAGGAGATTCAATTTATTTTATGTGTATAACAACCGATTCGTATGTATTGAATGTTTATTTGTATCCCTTGCAAGTTAAAATAACAACGCATTATTTTGCAGTCAACGTAAATTCTATGTGGCTGAAGTCAATGGAAGCATTCCTTCGGCTTCAGTCGACCGGTTAGATAATGGAAAAGGTCTATCGTTACTCTTTCACGGCATTGAGAATATATTCGATTCAGTAAACGGTAAAGACACCACACTAGCGTTTGTCTTTTACCAAATTATTTTGAGCTATATCTAAATATCAATCGTTTGTTTCCCATAGGATCGCTTTCTTCATTTGCAAATGGTAAGTTTTTCTCTCTATCATTCTCCTGATAAACAGCAGTGCAAAGAATATAATAAAAGGCATAACTTCACTTAACTGACACATCGAGAAATTGTATGATTTTTTGGTATGTTATAATTTGAGACTAGTATAGTTAATAGCAACATAAATTTTATTCCGCAACATAAAATTAATACATAAATTATGCACCTATAACATTGAACGATTTATTTCAATACAGTCGACTTATTTTGTATTATAAATGCATGTATTTGTTTATTTGAAGCATTTTCGGTCAGCGCACATGCTTCTTATTATTATGAATTGCGTCGTAGAAATGGTACACAGAGAGCGTGTCGCATCTTGTGTTGTTTTGTCACATACCGGTCAATCAGATCAATATACATTAAAAATCATATAAATGTTTTTTTTTTTTTTTTGCATTGTGTGTGATTATTGCTAACGGTGTATGATTATTGCGTTGGGCTATTTTTAGAAT